TGGAGAAGTCAGTGGGAGGTGGTGTGTGGGCTGGGGGAAGACTAGGAGCTCGGTTTTGGAGAGGTTCAGTTTAAGGAAGTGGAGCGACATCCAATCTATGTCGTTCAGTAGGCTTGTGATTCGAGCGGGGACTGAGGGGGTGAGGAGAGGGGTCCAGAGATAGATTTGCGTGTTGTCGGCATAGAGCTGGTAGTTGAAGCCGTGAAAGTGTATGAGTTGGCCAAGGGAGGAGGTGTAGATGGAGAAGAGAAGGGGCCGAGGACAGAGCCTTGAGGGACCCCAACAGAGAGGGGGAGTAAGGGGGAGGAGGTAGCGTTATAGGTAACGCTGAAGGAGCGTTGTGACAGGTAGGATGAGAGCCGGGAGAGAGCGGAATCTATGAGGCCAAGGGAGTGTAGTTTTTTTGGAGGAGGAGGGGTTGACACCTGTGTCGAAAGCCGCGGAGAGGTCAAGGAGTAGGAGCACTGAATAGTGGCCATTAGCTTTGGCGGTTAGCAGGTCGTTGGTATAGATACTGCAATTTATGCCATTTTTTGCTAAACAGCGCTGCACTAGTTTAATTGACAATTGCATTGTCATGCAATACTGTACATAAATGAAATTTATGGGCGGCACAGTGGCTTAGTGGTTACCATTTCCGTCTGGCACTACTAGGGTCGTTGGTTCGAATCCCAGCCACGGCACCACCTACCTGGAGTTTGCATGTTCTCCCTGTGCCTGCGTGGGTTTCCTCCGGGTACTCCGGTTTCCTCCCACACTCCAAAGACATGCAGGTAGGTTAACTGGATCCTGTCTAAATTGTCCATAGTATGTGTATGTATGAATGTAAGTTAGGGACCTTAGATTGTACACCCCTTGAGGGTTAGGGACTGATGTGAATGTACAATATATATATGTAAAGAGCTGCGTAAATTGACGGCGCTATATAAGTACCTAAAATAAATAAATGTCCTTTTTTAACACAAATAAAGCTTTCCTTCAGTGGTATTTGATCACGTGCGCTTTTTATTTTTCGTGCTATAAACAAAAAAAAGACCGAACATTTTGGAAAAAGAAAACAATATTTTCTCATTTCTGTCATAAAAAATAATCAAAATACTCAAATTTTGTCATAAATTTAGTGTATTCTGCTACAAGTTTTTGGTGAAAAAAATCCCAATAAGTGTATATTGATTGCGTTGTGTGAAAGTTATAGCATCTATATATAGGGCATATATATATAGGAAAAAGCACACCTGGCTGTCAGGGACTGCTTGAACTGCTACAAAACAATTTACCGGCAAGTGCTAACAGAGATCAGGCCTGATTCTGTGTACACTGCGGTTTTATGTGCAATGTATCAAGTGACAGTGACCTACTGACACTGTACTTGCTGGAGGAGAAGGGGGGGGGGGATAAGCATAGGGGCTAATTGCATTTGCTGGCAGGTGTCGGGGCTGATCCCGCTAACGCTGCATTTTTGAGGACACTATACTAATGTGAACACTGGTATAGTGCTGATCTGATCAAAGATATTGATCCGTTCAAACCTTATACTAGCAATGGAAATTTATTGTGTATGTGAGCGTGTTTCTGGCAATCAAGGGGTTAAAATGTGATTACTGATGTACTGAAAGGCAATCTGACGCTATCCGGGAGGGGCATGAAAACCGCGGGAGTGCAAATTTACATATATGTACGTGATTCTGCGCACCCGTGCCGCCCTGTAGCAGTATTTCTACTATAGGGTGGCGTGGAAGCAGTTAAACATGTCCAGTAAAAAAAAAAATTAAAAATCAAATTTCGGCATAAATTTAGGCCAAAATGTATTCTGCAACATGTCTTTGCTAAAAAAAATCCCAATACGTGTAAATGAATTGGTTTATGTGAAAGTTATAGCGTTTCCAAATGGTAGTGTAGATACTGGAATTTTTTTTTTGTACTAATAATGGCAGCAATCAGCGACTTATAGCGGGATTGCAGCGAGCATTCTGATACTGGGGGGAATTGACTTGGTGTCACTGACATCCCCGGTGACACCAATACAGTGATCAGTGCTAAAAAAAAAGCACTGACACTGTACTAATGGCACTGGGCAGGAAGGGGTTAATATGAGGAGCGATCAAACTGTGTGCTGGGAGTGTTTTACTAGAGGGGGGGGGTGTGCGCTTCACTGTGAGCACACTGCTCTGAATGGCTGTGCACAGCCATCCAAAGCAGTGTGTCCCGAGCCGACAGGAAGGAGGAGTGTTAGTAAACAAAGCAGCCCTCCTCCCCGTCGGTGATTGTCGGTAATCACTGGCCGGGACCCAGTGATTAACAGCCGCGAATGGCGGCGCGGGTAGGGAATGCAAAATCACATATATATACGTAGTATTTCTGCTATAGGGTGGACGGCAAGTTGTTAAAGTTCACTTTTTCTAACATGTTACACCTGTATTCAGGGTGTAAAATGTAAACGTTGCAGCTGCCCCCAGGCACCCCCCCCCCCAAATCCCCACAGTAACAGCAGACCAGGGATCTTCTCGTGTCTGCTGTCACAATTCAAAAAAGATCTGGCCATGCGGAGCTCCACCCACATCATTCACTCACATTCACAGAATTCTTTGTGGCTGTTGGCTAGCAGTGCTCAATTAACTACCACAGCACTGTGGTAGTTCATTCTCTCTTCCTGACTGTGTGTCTGTCTGTAAAATCTACTTGCTCATACAAAGTATGAGCACACAGATCTAGACAGATCTGCAGCAGTCCTGTATGTCATTCGCAATCTGCTGATCGCGGGTGCAATGCTTTCTAGGCTCCTTGTAAAAAAAAAAATGAAATGCAAATTTTTTTACCTGCAAAAAGATGTGCATTTATTATTATTTTTTTTTTTACAAAGGTGAACATATCCTTTAAAGGTTTTTTACCTTTTAGATGTTTCTCGGAGGGAAGTGTCAATGCTGGCCATAGATAGATTGAATTAAGGTTGGTTCAGCAGAGACTGGCCGAATTTCAATCCATGTGTGGCTGTCCCTGTTTGACTTCTGTTGAAAGGACAAGCTGGAAAACTTTTGTCGATCAGCAGCTACAGATCAGTGTATTTGGACAATCCCGTTGTCAGAATACAATGTCTCAGGTGGGGATTCCTCCATCCCGCTCATTTGTGGTTCTTGTTTTTTCTGTCCAGCCGCATGACTGAATGCAAAACAATTAACCATCTATGGCCACCTTTAGAGTGAACCTATCCCAAGTCTGTCCTCATTAACACACAATGCGAGAAGCTCAGCCTTTACACCAGGGGTGTGAAACTCAATTTCATTGCATTATGGTTGCCCTCAAAGGGCTAATTGTTTCTGTAAGACTAGATGTTCAGAGCTCCCCACCCCCTTTACAAAAGATGTAAAGATACCCTCTCCCCATCAGAAGTCGAAACCCCCATCCTCCCTTACATCACAGTGCACCCCCTTTACCTTGTGTTGCTGCCTGGAAGAAGCTGAGGGTGAAGCTGGGAAGCAGAAAGTGCAGGGTCTGGAGGAGGACCAGAGGTGAACTAGTCAGTTTCCATAGTCTGCTTAATGCTGAGATCAGGGTAGGGGGTGCTGCGGCTGCACAGAAAGGTGCAGGATCTGTTCAAGGAGTCCTGTCCTCCTCTCTGCTGCTGACAGTAAAGGGGGGACGCAGAGACAAGCCTGTCCATGGCTGCATAAAGCAGTGTAGGATCTGGTGGAGATCTCTCTTCCTCTCTGTTGCTAACTGCTTAGACAAAAAGGGGTCAGAAACAAGGGGGGTGCCGCAGCTGCAGGAGAGGTGGCAGGGCCACTTGAAATGACCTAGTGGGCTGGATTCATCCCACAGGCCTTGTGTTTAACAAGTACGCTACACCTTTAACCTTTTGTTAGGACAGACAGTTTTCAAATCTAGTGATCTAGTGAACATCTGCTTGCACAGTACAGACTTTGTTATTTATGGCAAACACAGCTACCCAGCCCCATCATAAACAAAGAAAACTACCTTGGAATTTTCCTTGCTGGAAGTTATGCTATGTGAATGGGGTCATATAACAAATGTAAAGTAGGTGGAAATACACTTTGAGGAGGACAAACAAAATTGATACATAATAGGAATGTTTTCAGTACAGCTGTGCATAATTCTCCCTGCACATGGAGTTAAAATGACTATCAGTAAATCCTGGGATATCAGTGTTGCCCTTACCAGGGTTCCAGCAGTTTGACAAGCATGGCTGCTAGTAAAACAACTGCTGTAAAGCCGTGCTGACCACAGATAAGGTACTCCTCATTACTAGCACACAGTCTGTTATTGCAAGATCACCTGCTATGCAAAGAGCAGCAGATGAATAAGATCAATCAGTTCCCTTCATGATGGCCAGTTAAATCCAATAAAATTTTCTTAAAGAAAAAACATTTAAGAATCATTAAAAATGGTATACACAGATATTGAAATAAGAAGACTGAGCTGTGTTACTACAAATATTGACTTTTAAAGTCATCAGCAATTCAAACTGTAACATTTTGTCTGTCTGCAATGAAACCATTTCAGGTATGCATGGCTTTTCGGCACCACAGATTTGCATTTACCTTTGAACACTGCATACCAACTAGAGAAAAAGTGACAGCTGCATGATGTACATTCGGATGCATATTGCCCTGGTTTTCTAAAGAATTTGTTTAGGTAGTATTAGAAGCCCAGCCCCAGCCTGAATGCTATGCAAGTTGATGCATTCCTAATCCTTCAAGATAAACGATGCCTTTATAGAATGACAAGTTGTTTCCACTGAAACATTACGTTATGCTACATGCAGAAGGGCTGCCAAGTCAAGTTTCAACTGGTCTGGACCAAGTATGCACTGCAAGTGGAAGTGTAAAACAAGATCAAATTGATTTTATAAGGGTGTTTACGGTTTATCGAGCCTTCTCACAGCACAGATCCCATATATCTTCTTATTGTAGATACAGGACAGTGCCAATATAGAGCTTTCATTTCACAAATACACGGGGAAATCAGCCTTAGCAATGACTCACCATTTCTTCGATTTCAATCTAGGAGCTGGATTCCGAGGGATTAAGAACAAGGCTCTCATGGGATGCATATCGCACAGTGCTAAAGGTTAAAAAAAAAATGGTCAGAAATTGCAAGCAACATAAAATATTTTCAGCTTTATGTACTTGTGAAGTAAGAATTAAGGCCGTTGGCTTATAGTGACAGAAAATAATGTGTCTGCTATTAACACTATAGAGCTTAGGAAGACTTTACACTAATCTACTGCAGCAGAGACTAGTCTGCACCTTTTATACAGAAACCTATTCCTAAGGATGCTATATCCCTACCTGGGATAATAGTTCCTTAAATTTGAATTATTGTATAAAATTAAACTTTGCTTTATTTACTACTACACTTAACATAATGTCCATTCAGCCCACCCAGTAAATGCTATTGTATTATTTTAAATAAATGAATGTTATAGGGCTTGTGTAGAAAAAATACAGCGCCTTGAAAAAGTATTCATACTCCTTGAAATTTTCCTCATTTTGTCATGTTACAACCAAAAACGTAAATGCATTTTATCGGGATTTTATGTGATAGACCAACACAAAGTGGCACATAATTGTGAAGTGGAAGGAAAATGATAAAGGGTTTTCATAATGTTTACAAGTAAATATCTGAAAAGTGTGACATGCATTTGTATTCTGCCCCCTTTACTCTGATACCCCTAACTAAAATCTAGTGGAACCAATTGCCTTCAGAAGTCACCTACTTAGTAAATAGAGTCCACCTGTGAAAAATGTAATCTCAGTATAAATACAGCTGTTCTGTGAAGCCCTCAGAGGTTTATTAGAGAACATTAGTGAATAAACAGCATTATGAAAACCAAGGGACACAGCAGACAGGTCAGGGATAAAGTTGTGGATAAGTTTAAAGCAGGGTTAGGTTATAAAAAATATCCCAAGCTTTGAACATCTCACAGAGCACTGTTAAATCCATCAACCAAAAATGAAAAGAGTATGGCACAACTGCAAACCTACCAAAACATGGCCGTCCACCTAAACTGACAGGCCAAGCAAGGAGAGCATTAATCAGAGAAAAAGCCAAGAGGCCCTTGGTAACTCTGGAAGAGCTGCAGAGATCCACAGCTCAGGTGGGAGAATCTGTCCACAAAACAACTATTAGTCGTGCAATCCACAAATCTGGCCTTTATGAAAGAATGGCAAGAAGAAAGCCATTGTTGAAGGAAAGCTATAAGAAGTCAGGTTTGCAGTTTGCGAGAAGCCATGTAGGGGACACAGCAAACATGTGTTCAGATGAGACCAAAATTTAACTTTTTGGCCTAAAAGCAAAACGCTATGTGTGAGGAAAACTAACTTTGCACATCACCCTGAACACACCATCCCCACTGTGAAACATGGTGGTGGCAGCATCATGTTGTGGGGATACTTTTCTTCAGCAGGGACATGCAAGCTGGTCAGAGTTGATGGGAAGATGTAAACTCAAAACACGGGTGGTAAAGATGGTGCCACACCCTATTAGTTACAATCACAGAATCCCAAAATATTTGGGCTTTTAAGGCACCAGATATCAAATAATGACAAATTACATAACATACAAAGTTTTATTTTTACACAATAAAAAAGGATTACACATAAAACACATAACCAAAAGGAAAAAGATTCTGATTCATTAATATAGGTGCATCCAAAACAAATATCCAACCCTCTATAACCGTATTAAATTTGTAGATCAAGATAGCCAATTGCTCAGTTCAAAGAAGGGCCATGTAAAATACACTGCACCGTTTCACCTGTATGTACATCCCTAATTATAAACACAGATACTATGTAATACCACTTGCACCCAATATCTGGAGTCATTTACAAATGCTTTGGGGATAGCGCATGGCTTTGGGCTGATGGATACGCCTGGATAACCACACGCTTCTTGAGTAAGAAAATGATCTGGTAAAGAGAAAAGTTGATATTTGCATCTGTTATAAATTGTCATTGTACATACTTACTGTTTTTTGTTTTATAGACTGTAATAGATTCTGATATGAACTTCTCCTGATGAAGCAGTTTGGACCACGAAACACGTAGAGCTCAACGGTGACCCTCTCTCCTCCCTCTTTGTATAAAATGGAATTATAGTATTTTACATGGCCCTTCTTTGAACTGAGCAATTGGCTATCTTGATCTACAAATTTAATACAGTTATAGAGGGTTGGATATTTGTTTTGGATGCACCTATAGTAATGATTCAGAATCCTTTTCCTTTATTATGTGTTTTATGTATAATCCTTTTTTTATTGTGCAAAAATAAAACTTTTTATTTTATATAATTTGTCATTATTTGATATCTGGTGCCTTAACAGCCCAAAAATTTTCAGATTCTGTGATTGATGGAAAGATGGATGGAGCCAAATACAGGACAATCTTAGAAGAAAAACTGTTAGAGTCTGCAAAAGACTTGAGACTGGGGCGGAGGTTCACCTTCCAGCAGGACAACGACCCTAAACATACAACCAGAGCTACAATGGAATGGTTTAGATCAAAGCATATTCATATGTTAGAATGGCCCAGTCAAAGTCCAGACCTAAATCCAATTGAGAATCTGTGGCAAGACTTGAAAATTTGCTGTTCACAGACACACTCCCTCCAATCTGACAGAGCTTGAGCCATTTTGCTATTTTAAGAAGAATGGATAAAACTTTCACTCTCTAGATGTGCAAAGTTGGTAGAGACATCCCAAAAAACTTGCAGCTGTAATTGAAGTGAAAGGTGGTTCTACAAAGTATTGACTAAGGGGGGCTGAATACAAATACACGCCACACTTTTTATATATTTATTTGCAAAAAAATGTGAAAAACATTTATTATTTTCCTTCCACTTCACAATTATGTGCCACTTTGTGTTGGTCTATCTCATAAAATCCCAATAAAATACGTTTACGTTTTGGTTGTAACATGACAAAATGTGGACAATTTCAAGGAGTATGAATACTTTTTCAAGGCACTGTATAAAATCCTAATTTGACCTAAAAAGGAGCTAAAGGTAAGTCTGCATCTGCTATATAAAGTTTACAAAGAATATGCAGTTAATTTATTGAACATGAACTGTAGTGTAAATGGGGATGTGGACGTCCTATGAGGTAGTAATTCAAGCTAAAGAAGGCACTTGGTAAGTACTTAGCTAAGTTAAGTTTAGCTTTAAAGAATACGTTTACCTTTTGAAATAAAATAATAAATTCACATTTGTTTGCAGGTAAAAGTGTGCATTTACTCGTTTTTTTCTAAGAAGCCTGCAGAGCAATGTCAGGCCTCCTGCAGATTCTCTAGATAGCTGTCTGCCTGTACCTACCATACAGGCAGACATCTACTTCACAGCAGGCAGTTCAATGAACTACAAGAGCGCTCAAAAGAACCCTCGTAGTTCATGGAGAACTTCAAGTCATTAGTGGCAATGAATGATGGTTAATTATAGTCTATTTATTCATAAGAAACTATGAATGAATTATTCAGCCATGTGGGCACGCTATTTTCAAATTGTGACAGCGGGTGCATGGAGAAGATCCCCCACTTGCTGTTACAGGGTGGGGGGATGCTGAACATGTTACTAAATATGGGTTTAACTAGTAACATGCTCAAAAAAAAGGTGAACTTAGCATTTAAGAGCAAATAACCATATGATTCAATACAACTGCATGGCAGCAAAGCTTCTCCAGGACCTATTCTAACAGCATGTTCATGAAACATCAGTTATGTTTTAACTTACGAGGAGCTCCCTCTGCCATCTCTATGGCTGTAATTCCTAAGGACCACAAATCACTCTGAAAAATATGACAAACAGGGAAATATTAGGTAGCATAATAGCAACACAGACAAAAAAACAAACTATTTATGAATGATTCACACTCGCATATAAGACAGGCTGTCATCAATTTTCTGTTTTCTGGATGGAAGTGTTATTTGGAATGAAAAATAATAAACAAGTAAGGACAACGTCATTCCAAATTGATGGGAAATGCTTTTCCAATAGTGATGGGCTGTGGTTTTCACTCCTGATGAACAGCGACACCGAACAAGATGAATTGTGTGTCGCCGGCTGTCTCGGCTGGTGATCCCGTCTAAGTTTTTTTTTGTATTTCTTTATTCTCAGCAATATGAACTGAGGCTTGAAATGGGACAGCTGTGTAGGATGAGAACACTCATCAAGCTTTACAGCAAGTCTGGCCTGAAAGCTGTAGTTATTCCAAAAAGGGAGACAACCATATTAATGTGAATACATGAGCCAAAAATTAGCATGTCTACATGTAGAAAAATTCAGAACATTTTTCAGTAAAGCATTGATTTTTTTTAATACCTCTTATTCAGCTATTCTTGTAAATTCTATATGTGCCCAGCCCTTATGTCAATGGCTTTTTCTGTAATATAAGCTATGAATGGGGAAGACACTTAGCAAGTATGTTTTGAATGACAAAAAGATGGCCATCCCTGGTGTAGGACCATTCTTAGCTGTGACCTTAAAATGCTGTGTTTGATAACCTCATCCTCCACTTCCATAAGCAGCCTGCTTACACCCCCCCCCCCCCTCCCCTCTTGGAAGTTTATGCCATCTGCTGTCATGGTGAGTAGAGACCGTAACTGTGCCTCCTTATGCCACCTTTGTTACAGTCTGAGAGAACAATAGCTGTGTTTCTGTACTCCAGGTCTAGTAACTGTGCACATTTTGAAAAGCTAAATAAAGAGTGTGATCTCTTCAACTCTTCGTGTGCCATGAAGCCCATTTTTTCTTATCAGAATGGGGTGCCTGGTAATCTTGCCTTTGTCCACTGCTCAACATCCAAGGTTGCAGTTCAACAGCTGGAAACCTCTTTTGTTGGCTTCTGGCCTCTTCAATGTCATGAAAGCTGGCAACAGCAGCAAGTGCAATCGAGGGCGTACAGGGAGCATCAGCTGTTGTTAAAGCAGAACATACATTTTCTGCCACTGAAACAAGGCACAGCAGCAAGCACTGTATAGGTAGACACAGGCAAATATTTTAATATTACTAAAATATGTAATGGTGGTAGAATCCCGCACACTTAGCAATTCAAGAGAAATGGAATTGAAGGAATCTAATTTCCACTTTCAACTCTTTCTTTTATCCCGAATAATACTGAGTTTAGCATCGTCAAGTAAAAATTTTGAGCATGTTGGCATAATCTTGAGTTTTCTATTGTTTTTCCAATAATTACGCTAAGGGCTTGTATATGCAAAACAAAAGTACACACATGCACATTGCAAAGTTCCGTGTGTCATTATTTGTGTCTTATGGTTTTTAGCATAAATTGTGAAAAGACAATAAGACTTCATATAAAAAAGCCCATCTCAAGTAGTCCAACAGGGAATTAAGCTTATAATAGGATTAAACTTCATAGCTGTAGAATTCAAGACCACTTCTTAAGCATTTTTTATCATGCCAGATACCACACTCCCCCTCCTTCCTCTGTTCTTACATTATTTTCGAAGACAGCTGTTTTAAGCACAAGAATAAAAAAAAGATAGAAGCTGTGAATTGTTGAGTTTTAAAATAAGAAAAAAGTGGAATGAAGACCAGACTTTGAAGAGTTGTGGCTGTAGCGGCAAGCAGTTAAAAGATATGCAGATGGCAGTTTTACATAATACACAAAAAGCAATATAGTCTTCCTAGAAACTTGCATTGTTGGTCGTTTGAATATGATTCTGTCTGAGTTGTCTAAAGTTGCCATAAGTATCACTACATAAGTACTCCATCTGTTGGCAGAATCACAACTGTGATAAACAAGTTCACAGCTCAGGATATACTTATGCTAAATACCGGAAAATATAAAATGTAAATGGGGACGGTGTTCTGATTTATTAATGAAACCACAGGTGCAAAACTAGAAATCACAGGATACACTAACGCATTTTGTGCAGCAGCACTTAGTGTGGTCATTCTCTACATATTATCTTCATATATTCTGAAATGGAAACAGGCTGGATCGGCATCTGTTCTACTCTCCTGTGTTTTAGTCTTCCGCAGCCTGGAGCAGTAATTGCACTCCAAAATACAATAAACCTTTTTACCTGGGATATGCCATTCTCAGAACTGTCTGAGATACTGCTAGTATACAGGTGACACTGGAAGTCCTGATGCCTAGGGCATCAGTCAGAATGTTTGCTTAGGACAAAAGCTTTGTAATTCCAGCAATAATAAGCAATAAAGCTAAATATTTGACATGTTGTTATAGGAGAGATAGAGCTCCACAATCGCATCTCAGATATTGGCTGAACTGGTCTCCATCAAAGGAGTCAATTGTACCAGCAATAGAACTACAACACACCGAGAGGCAAAATAACATTCTTCTTTTATTAAAAGATTCCGGAAGAACATGTTCTATTCTAACATAGTTTGTATTCAGTACAGCGCTTTCACTTTTTTTTAATTCATGCCAACAGGGCTACTTCCAGACATAGTTCACATGCACTGCTTCCATGGCTTTAGGTTGAACTAAAAAACACGAAACCAGCCTAATGCCTAAGTATTTAGGCCGCGCTCACATTGAGCATAGTGGGAACTCGGGTTTCTGCTCTCGACTTTGTATAGTCAATTCTCATGCGATTTTGCATGTCACACATAGGGCAGCTCAATAAACTTAAAGGGGTTGCCCTATGCGAGTGTGTTGCAGCAAAGAAGCTCACGAACCAAATTTTGGTCCTGAGCAAGGCGTGATTTTACATGCGCATTTGTCTTGATTGTTGCTCAATTTGTTGTGCAATAATATTGCACAGAGTTTGGGGTGACATTCAGGATGAATGGCTCCCAAAAGCACAATGCACATTTTCCACGATTTGGAATGGAGGGCAGAATTGCGTCAATTCTGACCTCAACTCTTAATCACCGAAATGATTCCCATCCACAACTTTGTGTAGGCAATTCTCACACGATTCCATGCCTATTCAAGTAAATGCATGTTTTTCACAGCAAAGAAGCTCAGGGGCCAAATTTTGCACATGTATTTTGTCAAGCAAAATCCCATCAGGCTGGGGCTGATTCTGCCCATGATTCCTAACCATCCAAGTGTGAATGGGGTCTTGGAGGACCTACACTGATTCTATGTCTGCTTTAAGTTTTCAGAATTCATTTTGGAGAACAGTAGAATTTTACAGCAGAAAATCCTTACATGTCACAATTTCAACACCAAAAAAGGTGTTGTTTATTTCTGGATAGTAGGTGGATTATGTAATGAGCAATTTTTTTGATAGATTTGTGTTCGATGTTAGATATGCTGTTTTAAGAAGGCTCTGACATGCTTTGTACTATTCTAATGGAGAGTTCACCTTAGCATCATCAGTCTGGTTATACTTTCACAGTTTATTGTAAGACAACTGATTAGAAAGGGGTTTCCCTCATTATACAAAATAACATAAAATATACTACATCCCACCTTCAATAAATATATACAGAAATGACTCCTGCATAGAAAAGGCCAATGCCAAAAAGGGGAAACAAGGCATATTATTAGCACTCACAAGATGGCCACCATTGCACATGGTAAACACCAGGCAGGAATGGACCACCCAAAATTATCAATACAACATAAAAATAAAACAACTAGTGATGTGCTAGGACAATATAGCGACAAATAAAAAATGACACTATAGCCACAAAAAAACAATGAGCAAAAGCAAATAACCAGCATGTGCCAAAATTAAACAAGTGTAAGAGTGTAAATAGCAACCTACAAGGGACAAAGACAATAGATCAACAGAAAACACAGACAGTGAATAAAAATACAAATATGCAAAAATGTACGTAATGTAAATCAGTACTCCACAACCAGAAAGAAGAAACCTGAGGACTCAGATATATGAAAAGTTGCAGAGGAGGAATGGTAGTAAGAACATTGGGACTAATACCACTGGAGAAAAGAACATGCCATCCCTATCAAAAGGAATGTGTATGGAATCCTAATAAGGCTTCAAAATAGGAAAAAGAGTCTGGATACAATGCAGACACTCAGAAAATCACACAGAAGAATCAATCACATACGTATAGAACATAAATGCCAACATATGGCAAAGCATAGCAATTAGCACATATATGGCAGGGAGCTCACAAAAGAGATTAGGGTCAGAGCGCATAAGTACAAGAAAGGCCAATTACTGCATACCCAAAGATGGACTGAGCTCCATCAAAATGTCAAAAATGGAACACCGTTTTGATTTATCTCTGCTGTTAAGACCATTATATAGATTTACTAGATTTACATACTGTATATAGACATACATACACACACACACACAGAAGAATAACAAAGATTCCCTTTTACATATTAAGACCACATTTATGCAACATACCTTAAAGTCGTATGTTGCATCTGGATTTTCATCACAGGCAATGACTTCAGGAGCCATCCAATATGGTGTACCAATAAAAGTATTTCTCCGGCCCACAGTCCTGTCTAACTGAGCGCTCACTCCAAAATCCACTGCAGTAAAATATAGAAAAAATCAGTACCTTGAACATACATTTTGATGCAAATTGTTTGTGACAGGTTCTTCAGCTTCTCTCAGTCATACACAATGATTCTTTTAATCAACACAATGATTACTGCTAGCGGCTATAGCGGCTGCCAGTAGTCGCATGTAAAAAAATCTGACAGGCTGGTTGTAACCAAGCCGATCAATGGACTGACTTGGGTGCAGTCAGCCTGCCCATACATGGATCGAATCTTGGCCAATGACCAATAGAAAGGCTTGTGAGATGCTAAGGGGCAGAGTCAAACTC